GTTCAATGTCTTATTTCTCTAACTTAAAAAAAATAATAATATAGCAACATCTTATATCAGTCTTCTATTACTTGATGTAATAGAACAATGATGTTGTTCTATTGGGTGACTGGGTGACTGTGTCACACTGACAAAAATAACTATACACAGGCAAAGAAGATCCTAAGAGACCAAGAAGCGAAATGTCATCATAGGCACTCTTTGTGCAAGCTTTCCAGGAGGAGCACAAGAAGCAACTAGATGCTTCAGTTACCTTCTCAGAGTTTTACAAAAAGAGCTCAAGAGGTAGAAGACCATGTCTGCTGAAGAGAAAGTAACTTTGAAGACATGGCAAATGCAGACAAGGCAGTTCTAAAAGAAATGGAAACCGACATTCCTCCTAAAGGGGAAACATAAAGAAAGTTCAAAACTGTCTTCAGCTACGCCTGTCCTGGTGGCATTTTCACTACCTTTACGACTACCCTTGCCTGTGTAACAAGAGGCACAGGAATCAAAAGCAGGTTCTTGTGGGCACACAGTCTTTTCATCTTCAGTTGTTTCTAACGTGTCTTATATAAATTAGTTGTTGGTCTCCTAACTGGATGCCACTTTACGATCACAAAAAACTTACATTTGCTTCATTAACATTCTAAATACTTCTGGATAAAATCAATTTTTTTATTAGAAAACAGAAATCAGGGGCGCCTTGGTGGCTCAGATGGTTAAGCATCTGCCTTCGGCTCAGGTCATGATCCCAGGGTCCTGGGATCAAGCCCCACATCGGGCTCCTGGCTCAGCGGGGAGCCTGCTTCTCCCTCTCCCTCTGCCTCTCTCCCTGCTCATGCTCTCTCTCTCTGTGTATCTCTGTGTCTCAAATGAATAAATAAAATCTTTAAAAAAAAAAAAAGAAAACAAAAATCATACCTTTACTAAAGCTATATTTTACCTTAGATAATGCTATCTTATACACAAAACACAGTCTTTTAAAACTTATATTTTTAAAAACAATTTATTTCACACGTAGTTACTTAAAGCCTTAGGACGGTTTGTTTGTTTTAAAGTAGAAGCATGTCTTTCACAGTAAGATAGTGATTTGTTCTTTGAGGAATTTTAAGGTTCTTCTGCAGCTGGATTGTGACACAGCTTTGGCTTGTTGGGATTATTTTTCAGGAGCCAATCAGCTAACCAAATCTATGGAAAAAAGAAAAAAACTTGTAATAAACATTTAAATATATATACTATAAATTATAAATATATACTATGAATGATATAAATATATACTATATATAACCTTACACTTTAAGTAGTATAAATATATATCAATTTAAAACATAGTTTTCAAAATCACTGAGAATGAGAAAATGACCATTAAAAAACTGAAACACTAAGTTTTACATTATGCAAGATTGTCAAGTATAGATCCAAATTGGAAAAGAAGTAAAACTATCTCCTTTTACAGATGACATGATCCTATATATAGAAAATCCCAGGGGCGCCTGGGTGGCTCAGTTGGTTAAGCGACTGCCTTCGGCTCAGGTCGTGATCCTAGAGTCCCGGGATCGAGTCCCACATCGGGTTCCCTGCTCAGCGGGGGGTCTGCTTCTCCCTCTGACCCTCTTCCCTCTCGTGCTCTCTGTCTCTCATTCTCTCTCTCTCAAATAAATAAATAAAAATCTTTAAAAAAAAGAAAGAAAATCCCAAAGAATCCACAAGCTATTATAACTAATAAATGAATTCGGCAAAGTTGTAGGCTAAAAGATCAACACAAAAATCATTTGTGTTTCTATATATCAGCAATAAACAACCCAAAAGGAAAATAAGAAGTCACTTCCATTTCAGTAGCATTAAAAAAAAAAAAATCTAGAGTACATTTAACCAACTTGTATACTGAAAACTATATAAAGTGTTGCTGAAAGAAATTTAAAGACCTGAGTAAATGCAAAGATAACCTGTGTTCATGGATACAAAGACTTAATACTATTTTTTCTTTTTTTTTAAAGATTTTATTTTTTAAGTAATCTCTACACCCAAAGTGGGGCTCAAACCCACAACCCTGAGATCAAACATCCTATGCTCCACCGACCAAGCCAGCCAGGTGCCCTGAAAGACTTAATACTGTTAACATGTCATTACTACCTAAAGTGAGCTATAGATTCAATCCAATCCTTATGAAATTCCCAAAAACATTTTTGCAGAAATGTTAAAGTCAATCCTCAAATTCATATGGAATTTCAAGAGGCTCTGAATATATAAAATAATCATGAAAATGAAAAATAAATTTGGAGAATTTTCTAACTTTGTCCTTCCTTTTTTTTTTTTAAGTTTTTCATTTATTTACATAATCTCTACACACAACATGGGGCTCACACTCATGACCCAAGATCAAGAGCCGCATGTTCTTCTGACTGAGCTAGCCAGGCGCCCCATCTTTTTTTTTTTTTTTAAGTAAACTCTACACCCAGTGTGGGGCTTGAAGTTATGACCTGGAGCTCAAGAGTCACATGTTCCACTGACTGAGCCATCCAGGAGCCCCCTCTCATCCACTTTTAAGCAGAGTATAAAATGGTACAACCACTACAAAATTTGGCAATACTTATCCAGATTAAAAATGCACATATCAAACACATCAAAACAACATTCTTTTAAAAAAATAACATTATTTTTGACTCAGTATTTCCATTTGTAGGAATTTATTCTATAGATATATGGTACACAGACATATGAATGAAGATATTGACTGTTGGCAGTTCACAGTAACAAAAGAATAGAAACAACCTAAACTACCATCTATATGTGACTAATTAATAAACTGTAGAAATCAATTCAAGAGAATGCCATGAGCTGTTCTTTTAAAACAGGGCAATTTTGTCTGTGGTGTTATTTAATAATTTATATGTTGAGTAAATAAGGTAAAAAGTATCAAATGGCCTTTTTAGTAGCTAGCATTTGTAAATGTACGTTTTTAAGTAAAAATATATATGCTTATATATGTATAGATTTTCTCTGCTGAAAGGATATATAGAGGCTGCTAAGAGTGAATGACTCCAGGAAGTATAACTGAATGACCAAGGAACAGAAATGAGAATGAGAGTTACTTTTCATGATATACCCTTTTGTAATTTTTGAATTTATACCATATTTAAATATTGCTTATTAAAAAAACTGTTCTAAATATTACTCAAAAAATTAATTAGAAAAGAAAGTTAAGGGCAAAATTTTTTTAGCTTTTCATATGTTTTGAATTATAATTCTACCTTTTAAATTTTTTTTATTTTTTATTTTTTTAAGTAGGCTCCATGCCCAACATGGGGCTTCAACTCACAACCCTGAGATCAAGAGTCATGTGCTCTAGTACTGAGCCAGTCAGGCACCCCTCTACTTTTTGATCTCTTTCCAAATGATGTAATCTCAATGTGTGAAAAGCCTTATACTCAAAGATGTTTACTGTTACACTATTCATAATAGCAAACAACTCAAACAGCAAAAGAAGTATGGTAAGGGTAATAAAAGAAATCACTTAACTATTAAAATAATCTCTATAAAATATATATTTAAATATAGTGATATTTGGGATGCCTGGGTGGCTTAGTCGGTTAAGCATCTGCCTTCGGCTCAGGTCATGATCCCAAGGTCCTGGGATTGAGTCTTGCACTGGGCTCCTTGCTCAGCAGGAGCCTGCTTCTCTCTTTGCCTGCTGCTCCCCCTGTTTGTGCGCTCTCTCTCTCTGACAAATAAATAAATCTTTAAAAAAACTAAATATAGTGATATTTATGGGATATATGTTTAAATATAGTAATAGAAATTAAAAAAATAAAATCTGAGCAAAGAAAAAACAGGACTGGAAAAAACAAAACAATAATAGCAGTTAATATTTGAGCACGTATGCACCAGACACTCTAAGAATTTTACATGCATTCATACTTCTTGGTGTTTGTTTTTTTTTTAAGTAGACTCCACACCCAGTGTGGAGCCCAATGAGGGGCTTGAACTCACAACCCTGAGATGAAGAGCTGAACTGATTATCAAGAGTCAGATGCCTAACCAACTAAGCCACCCAGGTGCCCTCACATACATTTTTACATTTAATCCTAACAATATCCCTATTATGTAGGCAGGTACTAATCTATTTGCATTTTACTGATGAGAAGAGAAAAACTCAGAGCTTAGATGTCTGGAGTCAGAGTTGAATCTAGGCAAGATGATTTCAAAGACCATGTTTAGGAAATGGAACCAGGGGTATCTTTTTCTTTTCTTTAACTTTTCTTTTTTTTTTTTTTTAAGATTTTTTATTTATTTATTCATGAGAGACAGAGAGAGAGAGAAAGAGAGAGAGAAGCAGAAGGAGAAGCAGGCTCCCAAGGAGCAGGGAGCCTGATGCAGGACTTGATCCCAGGACCCTGGGATCATGACCTGAGCCGAAGGCAGATGCTTAACCATCTAAGCCACCCAGGCGCCCTTCTTTAACTTTTCAGTAGTACCAGGTTTCTTACTAAGTAAACATATGTTATTGTCACAATGAAAAGGAGTTATTAAAGAAATAACCTGCCTAGGGGCACCTAGCTGACTCAGTCAGTAGAGTGTGTGACTCTTAATCTCAGGGGTCATGAGTTCGAGACCCACATTGGGTGTAGAAATTACTTAAAATAAATAAAAAGAAAAAAAAGAAATAACCTGCTTATCTTTTGTTTTTGGTGAAAGTGACAAAGTTAGTAGGAGAGATTAAATCTTTTGTCTTCCAAAGGGGATTCCCTTTCAGAATGGTAACAGAGGCTGGAGATACTATTTTGTCAGGGCTGGTATTAACCTTCCCTGAGGTGACTGGCTGGCTCAGTGGGAAGAACATGCCACTCTTGATCTCGGGGGTTATGAGTTCAAGCCCCATGTTGGGCATAAAGCTTACTTAAAAAATAAATAAATAAATGAAATAACTTCCTTGATTATCTCTGAATCTTCAAATGAGTGGGAGTACCTGTAAGGAAGGAGCAAGGAAGACATTGGCCCAGGACATCATCCTAGTTCCGCCTACCCAACTATTCTTCCACCTGACTGAGCAATGCTGAAGTATCTAGGGATGTGAATAAATATGTTTTCTATGAAAAAAATTAGATATCATTAAAAATAAAAATATCGAACAAAATTCAAATATGTATCTAATTTTATCATTTGATTATATAAATTATACCCCTAAACAATGATCTGTATTTGAAGGTCACAGTAACTGAAAATGTATTTTTTTTTTAAGATTTTATTTATTTATTTGAGAGAGAGAGAATGAGAGAGAGTGAGCATGGGGGGGGGAGGATCAGAGGGAGAAGCAGACTCCCTGCTGAGCAGGGAGCCTAATGCAGGACTCGATCCTGGGACTCCAGGATCATGACCTGAGCCAAAGGCAGTCACATAACCAACTCAGGGAGCCACCCAGGTGCCCTGAAAATGTATTTAGAAACAATGGGGTTTTTTTGTTTTTGTTTTGTAGGAACAGTGTTCTTTAAGAGTTAAAATACAGCAGGGTGCCTGGGTGGCTCAGTTGGTTAAGTGTCTGCTTTCAGCTCAGATCATGATCTCAGGGTCCTGGGATAGAGCCCTGTGTCTGACTCCGCACTCAGCAGGGAGTCTGCTTGAGGATTCTCTCTCTCCCTCTGCCCCTTTCTCAGCTCATGTGTTCTCTCTCAGATAAATAAAAAAAAATCTTAAAAAAAAAAAGAGTTAAGGGCGCCTGGGTGGCTCAGTTGGTTAAGCGACTGCCTTCGGCTCAGGTCATGATCCTGGAGTCCCGGGATCGAGTCCC